ACAGTTCCTTGATCACCATCCTCTTTTTTATTCTTCTTCTTCCAATTTTAGCATCTTCAGCCTGCACATGTGAAAAGCAACGCAAAGATCAAAACAAATCCAAGGAAGTGCTCCGATATAAACTAGTTGCAATAGTTTCAGTTCTAGTTTCTGGTGCTCTAGGAGTTTGCCTTCCGTTTCTGGTGAAGAACATATCGTCGATTCTCCACCCGGATAAGGACTTTTATCTCCTAATCAAGGCCTTTGCAGCTGGGGTGATCTTAGCAACAGGGTTTGTTCATGTGCTTCCTGATGCTCATGAAAGTTTGACAAGCCCCTGCCTAAGTAAAAATCCATGGGGAAGCTTTCCCTTTATAGCAACAGGGTTTGTTCATGTGCTTCCTGATGCTCATGAAAGTTTGACAAGCCCCTGCCTAAGTAAAAATCCATGGGGAAGGTTTCCCTTTACAGGTTTTGTTGCTATGGTATCAGCCATTGGTACACTGATGATGGAAGCTATTGCTACTGGGTACCATAACAGGTCTGAGCTCAGGAAATCTCAGCCAGTTGATGGTGATGAAGAGAGTGATCATGGGGCACATCATGCTGGTCATGTCCATGGTTCTGCATTGGTGTTAGAACCATCAAATTCGTCAGAGCTTATCCGCCATCGTATCATATCTCGGGTAATTTCACGTAAATTGTCTTCGAAAAAACATCTGAATTTCCTATACACCTATGAACTTGATTAATTGATTGAAATAATGCAATACAATTTACAAAACTGCAGGTTTTGGAGTTAGGAATTGTGGTTCATTCAGTGATCATTGGGATCTCCCTTGGTGCTTGTCAAAGCCCTCACACAATCAAGCCTTTGGTGGCAGCATTGAGTTTCCATCAATTCTTTGAGGGCATGGGGCTTGGTGGATGCATCTATCAGGTATTCTCAGTTCTTAACAAGCAAATTTGTTTGTCAACCAAATAATAAGAAGCAAAGAATTATGCTCCTAAAAAAAACCTAAACTCCTACAAGTTAGTCCAAATCAATCCAAGTGCATTATTGTTTTTCTTCACAATAATATATTAAATTGATTTGACACAGTTTAACTTATTGATCCTTTTTCCTTTACTATACTATCATGTAGGCACTTCTTTCTTTATTTCCTTTTTTCTGTAATAATTTTTTTTTTTCAAGTTGAAAATGAAAAATAATTTGGCAAAATGTAACAAATTTAAGGCTGTTTCTGATAGTAATTAATTAAGCTAGGGCATTCATGATTTGTGCAGGCAAAGTTCAAGCATAAAACCATGGCAACAATGGTGCTATTTTTTTCCCTTACCACCCCAGCTGGGATAGCTGTTGGCATTGCAATATCAAACACCTACACTACGAGCAGCCCAACCGCGCTAATTGTTCAAGGGCTTCTCTTATCAGCATCTGCTGGGATTCTCATTTACATGGCGCTTGTTGATCTTCTTGCTGCAGACTTTATAAACAATGCCAAAATGTTACTAAGGTTTTATATATGCAGCGACATGATTTAAATCAGCCCAATCAATTCATGGGGGTCCATGTTCTTTTTGGCTTGAAGGGGGGTTCATGTTCAACTGCAAACAATATGCAGACATATGTTTGTTTTAAAGATAAGAAAGCAAACTAAAATCCTGTTCAAAATGCAGCACACAACAATTCTGTCATAATCTCATCAAATGGCTTAAACAGCACACTTGTCATTTGTCAACCCCACTTCAATTTCATGTCGTCATTTTTATTCCAGCCCTTGCTTTTTCCAAATTCTCCCAACTCATATCTACATTCATTAATACGAAGTCTATGGAATAGGTGTTGATGCTCTTTTTGGGAGGGTCAACTTAGGTAAAGAAGTGCTGGATTTTCAGCAGGGGGAGAAGGTTGTGAATCCTCGGTACGGAGGGATCCTGCAGAAGGAGACAAGGAAGAAGCAGTCGTCTAGCTTCGGACACCGCTGTGATGCCTGTCGAAGGCTCAACGATGCTTAAGTCAGCTATATGTGGTAATTTTGACAAAGTAACAGTAAATGTGAGAAATTAGTTACCCTTTTACTCGGATACTGTTCTCTATTTATAGGGAAGTGAAAATGGGAGCTTTGCACAAAGTTTCGATGTGGGGCTTTGTGCAAACTATTGTGGAGGCGACACGTGTCCATGGAAACTAGGTTCTGTAGTTGGGAGCTTCGGCATGTGGTTGTCGCTTCAGAATGATGTCTTCCTTGGGCAGGTAAGAAGGTGATGATGTCACTCTCCTTCTAAGGGCTCGTTTGTGTATTCTTTTGGAGTGTTTCCTCCCTTTGGCAGTCGTCCTTCTTCTTCTTCTTCTTCTTCTTCTTCCTCCTCCAAAGCTCTCAAATGCAAGCTAGTTGCAACAAGTTCAATCTTTATGTGGCTGGTGCCCTTTATAAGCATTGAACTTATTGCAACTAGCTTTCATTTTTGAGCTTTATGTCACCATAACCTGTTTTAATTAACAAAGTATAAAATGAAGAAAGAGGAAATAATGTAACAGCAATAAGTGTGTACGATTCAGCTAGATCTTTGGCCCTTGACCTTCCATGAAGTATATGCATAACGTAAAGTTGTCAGGTCACAATGGGTGGAGCTACTACGACATTGAATAAGTCTGAGTTTTCTTCATCTCTCTTTCTAGTCTAAAGTAACCAGCATATAGCATAAAGAATAATAAGTGAAAGAAAGAAAAAAATTATCAGTTTTGGGGGAAAAAGACGAAGCAAGTCTAATTTGTTATCTTCCACACAAAAAAAAAAAACAAAAAAAACATAATCTGATCCCGCCAATGGCCTTGTGTTCTAGGCCTTTTGGCTAGATACCCATCTTAGCTTTTCTCAATTTAATAACAATTTAGTTTACTTATTGTGCTACTTGTCTAGGATGGGAGTTGTTTAGTTTGCTTGTATTTAACACAGAACTTGTTCTTTTTCATTTTATATGCTATACTTTTGTTGTATGGTATTTGATACAAGCCATAAAGCTTTGTTCTATATGGTAGCAGATTTTGAAATGCCATCGGCACTGACATGCACTCATGTTTTCCCTCGTTGGTGTTATAATCAATATCTCTATAATGCAGTGATCGTCCAAGCAATATCAGTCTTATTGTGGTCATCAATGTTAGAAAATCACTGGACCTAGACAGAAGTATGGGTACAAAAGAAATGTAACCAACATGGTCCATGCAGTCATGCAATGCACGTCAACTCCACAATGCGTTGACTGGCGTGTGGTTGTGAGCCATTGATATAAGTGGGAATTAATGGATGTGCATCAGTTAGCATTTGATCTACATGAATTACATAATACATCAACAGTTGACAGTCATTCATGAACGTGTGGACGATTGTTGCTAACATAACTCTTAAGTACAATCTCACTCTCGATTTCAAATACAGAACCTCCTACAACCAAAGTCCTCTACCATATTAAACAATTACTGAATCAAAAAAAAAAAAACTTCAAATGTTAGAGAAATAAACTAACAAATCAGTTAAATGCTCTACCGTATTCAAAACCTTTTTAGTGCTTGATGGTGCTCCACACGGCAAGTCAAATTCCTTCCCTAGCTGAACAGAATTCATGCTCATGCATTGGCTAATAACCACTCTAAGATGGGATACTAATTTAATCTTTCAAGTGCCCCTTTGCTTTTTGCCTTCTTTGCTTTTCTTCGCCAACACCAAGAAAATTTCTTAGTCATGAATCATTATCATCATGGTTCGGAAAGAGATTAAAAGCTTAATTAAAGTCCTAACCTCCTTTAAGCTGTTCATTAACACATAATGTCGTCATTTGGCTCCATTAACCACACACTTGGCAACCCCCCACTTTCCTTTCTTACAAATAGGATTGAATTCCATGTCGCCATTTTCACCTCAACCCCTTTGCTTTTCCTGAACTCTCCAACTCATATATATACAGTAAGCAATAGGCTTACTCCTTCACATCCCACATCGAGTTTGTTGGGTAGGTGCACACTCTGTTTCTCCCCTGTTTCCTCTGTTTTTTGCTCTGCCATTCCTATGAACTACTTCCTATACTTTGTAATTACAATTTACAAGCATAAAGGTATTTGAAATTATTCCCAGAAGGAAAAAGCTTCAGTGAGTGCTGAATTGAAACATTTTCTTATCTGATTGATCAAAGAACTCTTTTGTTCAATTGGTTACAAACTATGGTGGTCCTGCATTCATTAGTTTGTTTTAATTTTACAATTTTCTTTTTTCTTTTTGTGAGTTAATTTCATTTTCCTGTTCTTTTTGCTGCTCTAGTTTTCTGACGTAATGATGTAGATTCCCTGTATAAATGTTTTACAGGTTCTGGAGCTTGGGATTGTGGTTCATTCAGTCATCATTGGGATATCTTTAGGTGCCTCTCAGAGTCCCAGAACAATCAAACCTCTGGTAGCAGCTTTGACTTTCCATCAATTTTTTGAAGGCATGGGCCTTGGTGGCTGCATCTCTCAGGTATCTTCAATTTCCTCCAAGATTTTTCCTTTTCTCCATTGTCTCATTTAGTCACCCCATAAATACAAAATAAATATATGAAGCAAACTCTGCTAACTTTCTTGGTTATAAGAAAATGTACAAATAAAATAAATATATAAATTTTTTAATGCATATAGTCTTGGAAACATTCATCATTTTCTAACCCTAAGATGTTGCCATTTACCAATATGAACAGGGTTAACAAAATCTTCTCGGTACCCATTTAGAGATCATGCGTATTTGTAGGGTCCAATGACTCCATTGCATTCCACCACCATATGTGTCTTCATTTCATTTGTACAGTACGGATTGCATGGTTCACTATTGGGACAGTCTCAGATCAGTTCAGTGCAGCATTTTGTTGAAAGTCAACTTTCATTTTTCTAGGGTTAGGGTAATTAAGCTGTGTTAATGTGTCTTTTCTTCACCATGAGGTTCCAAGTTCCACAAGTGTTTCAATCCCAAAACATTTTAGGGTTGTGAGTTTAGGTTATAAATCTTCTTTCTATTTTCATACAATTTTATGTGAGTTGCTTCAATTGTTTGTGCAGGCCAAATTCAAGTCCAGGGCCATTGCAACCATGGTGCTTTTCTTCTCCCTCACCACCCCAATTGGAATTGGTGTTGGAATGGGAATATCAAACATTTACAATGAGAGCAGCCCAACTGCTCTGATTGTGGAAGGGGTTTTCAACTCTGCTTCAGCTGGGATTCTAATATACATGGCTCTGGTTGACCTTCTAGCAGCAGATTTCATGAACCCTAGAATGCAAGGCAATTTAAGGATCCAGCTTGGGGCTAATATTTCACTTCTTTTGGGTTCTGGCTGTATGTCACTCTTGGCCAAATGGGCCTAAATGCTTCAATGCAATGAGGGCTAGATGTATGGTACATAGGTTTATCGAGCAAGATCCTTCTTAGGCATTGCTCTTTTGTGTGTGTTTTGTTTTGTTTTTAGGTTTCTCTCTGTTTACTTTCATCTTGAAATGTCTAGTGGAAATTTCGTAAATGTGTCTGTGCAAGGCCCGTTTGGTAACGTTTTCTGAGAATATTTTCAGAGAATGAAAACAAGAAAACGAATTTGCATTTTCAGGAAATGAAAATGCGTTTGGTAGATTAATTAGAAAACATCTTTAGAAAACAAAAATAATGAAAACGTGTCTGGTAGTACAATTTGAAATAATAATATGTGAGTTATTTTTATGAAAACGTTTTCCACGAGAATGAAAACAACTTTTTTCCGTTTTCTACAAGTACACATGAACTTGTTTTATGTTTTGGGCCACCGAACATGTTTTTGCCTCATTTTTGTTCTCTGAAAATAAAAACAATCTCTTAAAACGTTACCAAACGGGCCCTAATTCTTCCACCCATAGAAAAGTGTAAAAAACATGGAATGAATATAACGATCATATCTTAAAGAAATAACATGAGATATATGTCATAATTCAGTTTTGAAATGTTGAGAGTTAAAAGATATTGGGAAGACATGTTCCAAAATACCAATGAACACACTCACCACTACAAGTAGGAACAAATTGCCCTCATTTCACGTAAATTTTTCTCCTATATTGGCATTGTTTTTTATCAACATGGAAAGGGAGATTCGAACTTGAGACCTCTTCTATCATTAAGTAGAGGTGTATCAGTAAAATAAAAGCTAGTTGCAAAGAATAAAAAACGCGAATTTATTTTTTCGAAAACATATTACGATGATAAGAAATCTCACAAAGTTATACATTCAACACTAACATCGTACCAATTAGTTTGGTGGAAAATTGGGTAGATGTACCATCTTTGAGTCAATCCCATTTGTAGATACTATTCAATTTTCACATCAAGTCTAGTCTAAAAGAAAGTGGCGTTATCTGCACACTATACTTGTGGCTGCTTCATAGTGAAGCCATTATCAAATCATGTTGTCATGTTGATTTTATTTCAACGCTATGAATGGTTATGAATGTGCCTAAGAATTGCGCAATTTTCATATTCGTAATAATTCTTTCTATTTCAATTATTATTATGCTTTCTACAATTAGAATACAGTTCTATATTTACAGACATATAACTAAAAACAGTGATGTAACATACAGGGGGGTTGACCTCAAAATATTCCTTAAAAGAGAAAAAGCAAAAGTTGACTCGAAAAGAAAAAAAAAATCATGTAAATATAAAATAAAATTGTATAATAGGAATGGTGTTGGGCCTGTTGGGCTTTAGATCTGATCATGGAGGGCCCACTGCCAAAATTATCTCTCTTGGGTTTGGCATCCCAGAAGTAAAACGACGGCAAGTCTCTTGTGTTGAAGCTTTGCTTATGAATTTCCAGCACCAAAAGAACAAGCTTTGCTTCTGAGTTATTTGTCTTCGGAGTCGGAACTATTTTATGTCCCCACAGGGAATATGCAATTTCTGTATCAGAAGGGATTGGATTGTTGAACAGGACAGGCAAGCTAACAGTGATTAGTCAAGTCCTTTCTTGGCGGCTCAATCTACCGATCCAATACTCTCAGTTGGGTATGCTCTTACTCAGTCCATTCTTTTCTGGCTTAAGTATGCGCTCAAAGTGTTTGATTAAATGTCTATGTGAGATTGGGTCATTGAAATTTAGTGTCTTTATTCACAGGTGACTTTGGAATTTAGTATTTTTGTTCAAAGATGATTGTTTGTTGATTGGTTGCATCTGAAATGTTTTGGTCTTTATTTGAATATGAGATTGCTTTCAAGTGGTACACCATATCTCAGTAAAAACCAAGTAGTTCATACTTCACTTAAGCATTGCATAGAAGTATCCCAAGGAGAATTTAGTGTCTTTGTTCACAGGAAAGCCCACTTTGTTCCCTCATGTATGCAATTGTTATGACTTAAGTTGGAATTTTCTTTCTGTGTATGGGAATTTGATATAATTATTTGTTCCAATGAATTTATGATGTATTTCCTTTGTTTGTATGGGTATTTGATATAATTATTTGTTCCGATGAACTTATGATCACTAAACATAATAGCTGTGACTTTATCATGGGTTTCAGTCATTTATACTGACTTTGAGGAAATTCATGTGCATAGGCTAAGTGTTAGCAATGATGCCAATGAACTATGGTTATAGCCCATTAGTTACATCTCTGGCCCAGTGCATGTTTACAAGACTTATCGGTAGTCTTTTACAGCAAAATGTGTTAACCTACTCATCACTTGCTTGTGTTAACAATTCTAGAAAGTCCATTGTATCATCGATTATGATATCTCCCTCTCATGTTTGTTTGTGGCCCTAATACTCCTCGTGATTTATTTTTCTATTGGTGTTGATTATTTTGTTCTTCATTCTGTAGATTGGAGATAGCAATGGCAGGAGTAATACAAAAGTTTGTTACCGCGTCATTGTTTATGTGGATAACTCCCGTGGCGATATTATATGCGTTTAACAATAATTTGCTTCCTGGTAAGGCTGTTGTGCCAATCCTGTAGCTTTTTGTCATCTTCAGTCCTCATGTCTAATTGGTTGTCATAAAACTAGTACTGCATCTTATTGGAGGTCCCTCGTACTAATATAGGCTCGCACTAGTTATGCTGGGTTTTCCTTCTTAATGCTATATTACAATGAATTTATCTACTTTCAATCCTCTTTTTGATAATTTTGTCTGCGTTACTTGTTTTCTTTCTAAATAAGCAGACCATTTCTCATTTCACATTTTGAATTTATGTCATTCTGCATTTCATTCCTATCCTAGATCACCTTAGAGTTTGTCCATGTCACTCTTAATGTCGTGATAATGGGAATTTTCATCTTAATCAAGCCTTTTAAATATCTTCCAACTAATGACCTCTAAGTTCCCATGAGGAGAGTTTTGATGATTAGAAGCTTTGTTTTTTTATTTTTATAATTACATAATAATATCCTTACAGTGAATGTGCTTGACAAGAATAAAGATGGCATCCTATCACCAAGTATAACTAGGGTATGTAACAGAATAAATAAATAAATAAAAGTATAACTAGTGCCAAGATGATGTGGTGCCATACTGCTGTAGGATAGCATTGACGTTGTGGGCTTTGCTTTTGGAAACAAATTTGATTTTGGGATTTGAATGGTGGAAGAATCAGGATTACTATAAGATTAACTTTAGTCGCTCGATGATTTTACTAATTGGAATTTTGTCTCCACCTAACTAAGAAAACAGCTGCAGTATGTGCTAGTAGCAAGCTATACAAGGATTTGGGGTTTAGAGCTGTGTACAAAGTATGAGCTCGTGGGGTGATCGGAGGAAAATAAGGGCTAGTGGTGAAAACAGGAGTCCTAGTAATCAAATAAAAGGAGAAGAAGATAAATCTAGGCACTCTCCCTATTTCCCCATGTGAATTACATGCAAGGCTATAATTCATCATGGATTCTCTAAGAACACTTCAAAACTACTGAAGATGTTCTCTGAAACCTATTCTCCACTAAACAGAAAGAGTTATATCTAAGCTTCTCGAACTAGTAATCTTAATGGGACTTTGACCTCAAGATCAGAGACTAGTAAAGCCAAGCTAAAAAGAGGTTAGAAGCATAAGTACAGCCCAGTAACATGAAAAGATCCACAGCAAGATCCATGGGAACAATTATAAACCATTTATGTCATCTTTTAATTTTCAGAATACCCTACCACTTAAAATTGAGACCGCTCGGGATATGAAAATTTTGAAACAAATCAATGGCATCATCTTAGTAGTACTCAACTTGAGCTTTCACTATTTAAGTTTTGTTTCTTATCAAAAGAAAATTACTCAACTTGCCATTACATGTATCGACTATCTTAAGATTATTACTTCTTTTTTTGGCTACTGTTGGATTTCCAGCTGTAGGTAAAATGTTATCTAGAGCCTAGAGGCCATCGGTATTCCTGTGGGTAGTATGGGTAATCTTGTGCAAAGTACTATGGTTGTAGGAAATTTCTGAAGAAAACATAGGCGCTTGTGTTTGTATCACCAAATTGCACAGCCAACATGCCCTTATCACAATCATGCAAGTGAATGTCTGATTAAATCGAAAAACTTTGATCTTGTAACTTGCCTTACTATGTGATAATTTTTTGCAAGGATTTAGGAAGGGAGCTTTATAGAGTTACTTTCCTAGGTTTTCCTCTTGGATTATCTGAGCGTGTTCTTCATGTGAAACAGGTGCAAGCGACATGTCTCCCTATTCACTCACATTGTTGAGTGGATTCCTTGCTGTTATATCTGTCAACATAGTTATTGCATTTTATATATATATGGCGATGAAGGAACCTTCTGACAAACATAAGCCTGATCCTGCATTTCTTGCTGAGGCCAAAGCTAGTGTAAGCCAGCCTATAGGTGAAGCTGATAGCTCTTCCCAATCCTCCAAGAAAGAAGAGTAGGATATCCCATTTGTCATTTCCACAGTCGGAAGCACTGAAAATTTGACAGCATCATGCAGTCTGCAGACCATAGATAGTGATTAAGAATCCATTTGATTAATGTATGTTGGTTTTCATTTTCTGTCAGCTGCTATTGATGATGTGATTTTGCTATCACAAGCTCCTTTCTGGAACTTGCCACTGTGGATGCATTCTTCACCCCTTATTTTTCAGATAAATTTTAGTGTTTGAGGAAAATCATGGCTGCACTTACTTTTTGACTCAAAGCGATTGAACTCTCATATATTTAGGCTGCAAGTCTACAACTAATTGAGATTGCTTTTATGTGTAACCTAACTTTAGGCCTACCATACATCTCACGTTAAATCTCCTCCTTGAAAGCATGACAAGATTTTGCTATCACAAGCTCCTTTCTGGAACTTGCCACTGTGGATGCATTCTTCACCCCCTATTTTTCAGATAAATTTTAGTGTTGGAGGAAAATCATGGCTGCACTTACTTTTTGACTCAAAGCGATTGAACTCTCATATATTTGGGCTGCAAGTCTACAGCTAATTGAGATTGCTTTTATGTGTAACCTAACTTTAGGCCTACCATACATCTCACGTTAAATCTCCTCCTTGAAAGCAAGACAATGGATCATTTTGAAATATGTCCAACACGAAAATGGCAGAAATGCAAGCTATAGGCCTCTTTCCATCTCTCTTCAAGTGATAGGTGATGAGTGATAGAAGGAATGTTTCGGTGTACAACATCTCCATGTGACGTTAACCGTATATGTTATAACACGTGTATATTTATTGATATTTCAACCGAAAGTATAAACTTGTCGTCTTATCATGTTACAACATATAGATTACTAATATTGTGCGACAGTTTTATACGTTAGAGAGATAAGGAGAGTAATGCTATATAATCATTAATAGGATGCAACATAATCATTAATAGGATGCAACGTTTCCCAACTTAATTAAGTTGGTTCAATTTGTGTAAACTCCTTGATATCCAATGAATATTTGTGTAAATCTCTCTCTCCCATTGCTTGTACTAAAAAATTTTATAAATAAATAAAATAAAAACTAATCTTCGTCAATTGTTGGTTGGGCCTCAGCTCAGGTCAACCCAACTATCAACTAGGTCAATTTGCAATCTGCTACATCAATTAGGACTAGGAAAAGCCCTAGCCCCAATTTTCAACCCATTTTTATTATATAAGATTATAAAAATAGGCTACAAATACAAAGACATGAAATAAAAGAACCCACAGATCACAGAAGGGAAACCTCCAAAAACCCAAATACCGAATCGAAGGCTCAGAGAGAGAGAGAGAGAGAGAGAGAGAGGGACAACAAGAAACACAACTAGAAGACCCGTAGAAGGAGGGCAAAGAGGAAGGACAAATGGGTAGGAAGAAGAAGAGGGTTTCGTCGAAGGTTTGGTGCTACTACTGTGATAGAGAATTTGACGATGAGAAGATACTGGTGCAGCACCAGAAAGCTAAGCACTTCAAGTGCCATGTCTGCCACAAGAAGCTATCAACCGCTGGTGGCATGGCCATTCATGTCCTCCAGGTCCACAAAGAGAGCGTCACCAAGTATTGACTTCTGTACTTTCCCCAATTATTTGAACCCTAATTTTTACGTTCTTTCATAGCTGACTTTACTATATGATAATACGATATTGATCAGTTTTATGTTTGCTATATATAACTATGATCTTCATTGTTTTTATTTTTGCTATGTAAAAATATGATCTTCATCCTTAAAAAAATCATAGTTTGGTCAGTTGGTGCATCTTTCTAATGGGCTTTAGATAAAACAACTTCTTTTTTTTTATTAAAAAAACGATTTGTGAAGAATTTTTTTGCTGGCAAAATAATTTGAGATTAAAGTTTTTATGTTAGCTGCATAGGCAAAAGTTTAATGGTCAATGGCATTGATAGGCTATCTTGATTTTCGAGCAAATTCAAGCTGTAGGTATTTGATGGAAGTTTAGTAGAATTTGGATTCCAGGAAACAATGCGGCGGTTACTATAAATTGGTTTTTATGATGTTGGGATATACTGAAATGTCAATGCGTTTGCATATGAGGCACGCTTCTTAATAAAGAGAGGGCCCCTGAACCTCAGGAAGTTAATGTATTGTATTAACCTTTTACTCATATAACTGTAAGACTTTTTTTTTATTAAAAAAACGATTTGTGAAGAATTTTTTTGCTGGCAAAATAATTTGAGATTAAAGTTTTTATGTTAGCTGCATAGGCAAAAGTTTAATGGTCAATGGCATTGATAGGCTATCTTGATTTTCGAGCAAATTCAAGCTGTAGGTATTTGATGGAAGTTTAGTAGAATTTGGATTCCAGGAAACAATGCGGCGGTTACTATAAATTGGTTTTTATGATGTTGGGATATACTGAAATGTCAATGCGTTTGCATATGAGGCACGCTTCTTAATAAAGAGAGGGCCCCTGAACCTCAGGAAGTTAATGTATTGTATTAACCTTTTACTCATATAACTGTAAGAGGAACTTTATGCACATACCTATGTGCTGATGATAAACTCGGACTTTGTCCACTGTATTCAAAAAGTAAATGTTAATTCATTTCTTTTTGAACTCTAACCAATTTGTCATTAATACAAAAGAACAACCCATATTCAAAAACCCGGTTTCAAGTTTTCTAACTCAGACATGAGAACATTATCGTAGATGCTTGTAGTTGCTCATTGTTTGTGATTAAACTATTTCACTTGATCATTTAAATGAGCTATTATAAATGGCCATTGCAATTTGTTCAATATATTTGAACTGTGCCTCAATATAATTCCTTACCCTGATTTTCTTTTTCACTACTGATACTCAAACTGGAAAAACTATGTTTTACAGAGTTCCCAATGCAAAGACTGGAAGAGAGTCGACGGATATTGAAATATATGGGATGCAAGGAATCCCACCTGACGTCTTGGCTGCACATTATGGAGAGGAAGGTGAAGGATCCTTACAAATATGATGTTTATCCAGAGAATTTTCTTATTTTATGTTTAGGTTATGTTATCCCCGTTGATATTTGGTGATGGTTAAATTTTTATTTTATTTAAATGATTAAATTGAACTGTTTTATGCCTTCTTTGGGTTTGATTCACATTAAGTTTCACCTGGATGTGCTGGTACATGCAAATATACATAAACCAACCCATTTGAATCAAATTTCCTTGAATAGTATAATGTATTAAATAAGGTGCTCTATTGGAGTGTTCATAGCAACATCCATGTAATAGTTATTTGGGCATAAAAGCTTTGATGATTGTATTTGGTCCAGTTGGAAATTTTTAACATGTTGAAATTCTCCTGTTTTCATGGTTGAACCAATTTACTTGCAAGAGAATGCATCCACATATAAACTCATGCAAGTACACACTCATTCGGATGTCCTAATCTGTGCATAAGAATTCTGTATGAAATGTTTTGTCGTGGTTTGTCTTAAAGACTAATTGAACCAACAAAAAGTGTACAGTACCTATCATTTTGTGTTGTTCATTTCATGTCCTCTTGAAGTTATAGCATTAATCATATAAGTTAAGTTTAAATTTATTTGCAGATGAGGACGCTCCATCAAAAGTAGCTAAAGTGGACATCCCGTCAACCCAGTTTGTTGGTGGTATGGTACCAGGTTCGATGGGGATTGGATATCCTCCCCAACCAGCTTTGGGTGCAATCCGGCCAATGTATGTTTTCTGTGAGGTTTCTTGCATATCCTCCGCAAGCAGCTTTGTGAAATTTGAAAACTCTATTTTCTGTGTTACATACTGATTACCATTTACGTAAACAACTTATCTGTATGTTTCTTTGGTTTTTGTTTGCACCAGTTACAGTCCTGCAGTTCCAATGCCTCCAAATGCTTGGCAACCTCGTCCCCAGCCATGGTTTCCACAACTTCCCTCAGTCTCAATTCCTCCTCCTTCCTCATTGGGTTATGTGCCGCAGCCATTGTTTCCTGTGCAGAATGTGAGGCCACCCCCACCATCATCAACCCCTGCACATCTGCCATCACATATAACTCCACCTGGACTTCCTACATCCATGCCTCCTGTTCCTGTATCACAACCTCTGTTTCCTGTTGTTGGTATAAATAATGTACCAACTCAAAGTTCTCCCTTTTCAGCTCCTATGCTTTCAACTAGTATTCTCTCAAATTCTCCAGCTGAACTTAAAGGCTCAACAGATGCACATCAAGGTGCGAAAACTTTCATAACAAGTAGTTATCTAAGCATTTCAGGTTTGATGTCCTATGTTTTATTTGCTTAATGGTCTTTCAGATACGATTTTTGTGTGTAAATTTTTGTTTTTTAGAAGTAATTCAATTTGGTATTTCAAAATTTTCAAAATTGAAACTTGTAGCTCATAATATGGGTGTTTTAAGTAGGCATGATGCTGTAATTTATCTGGTATCCCCTCCTTTTTGTATATGTTGGTGGTAACTGTACTTTAATTTATTTTTTTAAAAATTTGGAGTGATTTAATATGTGTAACATTCTATTGTATATAACTGTCTGTCTTGTCAAATGTTTTTTGTGGTAATCTTATGCCCTTCCCTTGTCTATGCTTTGGCTAATTTAAAGTCTCTCAAAATTTTGTTTTTTTTCTTTCGTAACAGTATGGAGTCAAAGCTGTATTCTAATCATAGATTTTAACAAAAATGGTATTTTCTTGCTTTCAGATCATGCTTTCCTTATGTATGATAAAATAAGTAATAGATGCTTTGGGAATTTTCTCTTGTTATTTATGGTTCAAGTCACCTTTTGAGATTATACTACAGAGTACTGTTTTGGGAATTGATCAACTTCAAATTTGGATTTGCCATCAACAGCTTAATTTGTACTTTGCAGGCTTATGTGTATTTGATATATTACAAAGGCAGTTTGTTATCTTCCTTGTTATGCACCCAATTGATCCTGTTAATTGTTTTTATTTCTTGACCAACTAAGCTACTAGTTGTTCTGGTATGATAAGCCTTATGTGTTTGCCCTTTACAATAATGAAAACTGCCCACATTGCTAAAAATATAGCTCTTCTGTCCTAGTTGATGCCTTGGGATTGTTGATTTCATGTGTGCAAGGCTTGTGAACCTGATATCTCCCTTGCATTTAATTGCTACAGGTGGGACCTTAATTAATTCACACTCTTATGCATCTGGTCCAAATACTGGTGGTCCATCAATTGGACCACCCCCTGTAATTGCAAACAAAGCTCCTGCTCCTCAGCCAGCCGCTAATGAGGTGTATCTGGTTTGGGATGATGAGGCTATGTCCATGGTAAGTCATTTCTAGTTTACACAATGCTAATTAGGTTTCTTTTTTGCTAGTGTTGTGGCTAACTGGTTCAGTTGACTTACTTGCAGGAGGAAAGAAGAATGTCCTTAGTGAAGTATCAGGTGCATGATGAAACTAGCCAGGTAAGTCATACTACCTCTTTAATTTACGGAGTTGGATTGCTCTAACCAGATAGGTAGGCTTTATGTTTTTTTTTTTTGGTTTGGAAAAGGAGGTAGGCTTTATGTTGTCTTTTCAGATTGGCTTGTTTACCAATTTTTCCTGTTTAGAGAGGCATATACTGTATGAATTTGAACTTTTTTCTTTTGAAAAGAAAATTTTAGCAAAGAACATGTGAACCTTTTAGTCCTCCATCTTTCTGCTTTCCAACCCTTGGTTGATGGGCATGCTGTTTTGTTTAAACTGCCATTTCTCGGGTTTCCACGCAACTGCATCAAAAGGTTCAAGTAGGTATTTACATTATTTTTGCTGTTAGTTAGTAATTACAATTTTGACAAGCTTGCTGCAATGGGCTCAAGGATTCTTCTACCTAGCATCGTACTCAGTTAAGTACGGAATCTATGTATTTGTTCTTTTAAAATTTGGATTTATCTGTTGTTATTCACTCTCCCTATGCTTTCTTTTGGGGCGTGGGGATTTGAGTGAAACAAGATCAAGCCCAACAGATTTTTGTTTAATTGTAGCAACATTACTTTATTATTGAACAGTGAAACCAGACTTGGCACAGGTCAGCTTCTTTCACAAAGTTTGGTATCTTTGGATAGGACCAATTTACTTATCTTGCTTGACCAAGTGAATGATGCCCCCGGTTCCTCTCTGATTATCTTATTGCTGTTTTATTTTCCAGATGAGTTCAATTGATGCAGCCATAGACAGAAGGATTTTGGAGAGCCGGCTCGCTGGCCGGATGGCATTTTAGATCAAATAGCAGCGATGGGCCAATGGCATTGTATGCACTGTTGGAATCTCACGCTGATGTATGGACCTTGGAATGTCATGCTGATGTGTGGTCCATGTTTCGCCTAGTTTATTTGATGAGCAAGGCGGGTTCTTTGGTTTGTCTTGCAAGTAAAACCAGTCATACCTTTGTGTTGTATTCTTTGCAAGAATGTGAGGTGGAAGGGAAAATTATTTTAAGTTATGATATTCTTTTTTCCATTTTCCCTTTCGCTTGCTCCCATAGATTTTGATGTAAACCTTTTAGGATATGTTCATTTGAAGGATTTCATTTACTTCCCCAGTGATTCAATAGTATTCTAGTTCTATATTTCAAATGTGAATAGTAACTTGATTGTTGTTTATTGATGATGATGCTGTTATGTTGCTTATTGTAACAAATTAGTCCCAAGAGTTAAATTTATAAATAAATAAATAAATAAATAAAACTGAGAAGGGCTTGAATCCAAGCACGCTCCAATACTGGTCTAGCTTTGGGACTGTTTCTTTTACGAGCACTGTAGAGCAACTACTCCATCTACGAATACCAGAGCTACAATTTGCAAAAATTTGCTTTTGCATGGTGTTGTGTTGCAGTCGATCAACGTGATGACGTATTTTGTATATAAATATTACACCTCCTAAAATATGGAAAATAGAAATTCGTCATGTTCATATATTTTTCGTCATTCAAGTAGTACTTCGGATAAATATTCTAGCTATGGCCAGCAATCCCATCACAATAGTAACACATTGGTTGTGTACAAAGGTTCTCTATGGTCAGTTTAATCGATCTTCGACAAAGCTTAGAGAAAATTTAACATATATAGACAGTTCTAATCATAAGATTAGTGCTCAAGCTAATGCCTCAAATTAGATCCTATTCTTCATTTGAAACTTTGTTTCAAATACTCTTTTTGTTGAATTTGTTTTGCATATGGTGCACTAAGTCTATGTCCTTCCATTCTTGGGTAATAGCACTTGTACTCATGTGTTCCTCGTCCCATCATAGCTTAATTTTGCATATGTAAGTTAAGGTTTTTTTTTCTTTTTTTTTTTCTTCAGATAATCACACATGTGAATTAGGTTAGTTAGTCAAAATAGTGTCAATTTCCTTCCCCTCAAGTTTGAGTCTCTCCTTTACATAAATATTAGAGTAGGTTAGAATGTCACATTGTCAAAAGTTTTTATACCTAAGAGAAAACTAATTATTAATATCTTGAAAATGCATTTACATGGTGCTAGCAATAGCAAAAGTACAAAGGAAAATAAGAAAAGAAGAAAAATAAAAAAATAAAAAAAAGAAGAAGAAGAAGAAGACCACTTCCTATTCAGGACACCAAAAAATAGAATTTTTTTTTTTTAATAAAATGGGGAAAAAAAAACTTCTTTGTGTATTCAGAAAATGCGATACAGAGACCAGACAACTATGCTAAAATATGAAACCGAATACGATAATATTTCTTTGTGGGAATTTTCTATATATTCTTCTCCTTGTAGTATGTCATATTTATAATACAACGGAGCCTTAGTGGCCCAATAAATAATAAATTCATATTTCTATTTACAGTAGGAAATCAGGAATTAAAGTAAATCAAATATAATTATAATGGGAATTCTTGGTGTGTAAGGAAAGAAACACTCCCCCTCACGTTGGTGCATAGATGTCGCCAATGCCCAACTGGTCGAGTGAATTGTGGAACGCTCTACTAGAAATTGCCTTTGTCAAAATATCTGCCAATTTGAGCTTCTGTTTGATATAGTGTCGATCTACCTCAACATATTTGGTGCGATTATGTTGGACTGGATTCCGTGCAATAGCTATTGCAGCCTTGTTGTCACAAAAAAGATTCATTATAGATGTAGATCTATACCCAAGTTCAGTAAGCAACCTCTTTAACCAAATGAGTTTGCAAATTCTTTTGGTCATTCCTCTGAACTTGGCTTCTGCACTGGATAACGCGACAACCTTCTATTTCTTGCTCCTCTATATAACTAAATTACCTCTCACAAATGTGAAGTAACAGGATGTGGATTTCCTATCCGTTATACTTTCTGCTCGATCTGCATCTGTGTAACCATCAATATTCAGATGACCATATTTTGAGAACATAAGTCCTTTTAGGGTGCAAACTTCAAATATCTAAGTATTCAAAGAACTGCATTCATGTGGCCTTCACTCGGAGAATGCATAAATTGACTGACAACGCTAACCGCATAAACAATGTCAGGCGGGGTATGAAACAAGTAGATCAATCTTCCCACTAACCTTTGGTATCTTTCTTTGTTAGTTGGAACTTGATCCGGGTACTCTCCAAGATTATGATTCTGAACAATAGAAGTGTACATGTTTGCAACTAGCATTTTTGTGTCTGTCAACAAGTCCAAGACATATTTTCTTTGAAAGAAAAATATGCCTTGTTGTGATCAGGTCACCCCAATCTCTAAGAAATATTCGAGTCCACCTAGATTCTTCATCTCAAATTCAATAGTCAAATAGTCTTGTAGCTGAGATATTTCATGTTTATCATTCCCAATAATAATCATGTCGTCAACATAGATTATTAAAGCTGTTATCTTCCCATTCTGATGTTTCAAGAACATAGTATGATCTGAGTTACTCTATTGGAAACCATTGTTCTTCATTTCCATGGTGAATCGCCCAAACCATGGTCGTGGTGACTCTTTCAGTCCATACAACGCCTTCTAAAATTTGCATATTGTTCCAGTCTGAGTAGTATTATAACCATGAGGAATGTCCATATACACCTCTTTCGTGAGTCCTCCATATAGGAAAGCATTCATGAAATCAAACTGGTGTAGTGACCAGTCCAAATTAGCTGCGAGGGACAGTAAGACTCTGACTATGTTCAATTTTGCAACTGGTGCAAAGGTTTCTTCATAATCTACAATATAAGTTTGTGTGTACCCTTTTGCCACAAGTCTTACTTTGTATCGCTCGATAGATCCATCAACGTTGTGTTTTATGGTAAACACCCATCTACATCCGATAGTCTTTTTTCCTTATCGTAAAGTTTTCAGTGTCCAAGTCTAATTTTTCTCAAGAGCTTTCATCTCCTCCTTTATAGCTTGAATTCACTTAGGAACTTTCAATGCTTTAGCAACCTTGGTTAGGATATGAATAACAGACAACTGATGCATAAAGGCCTTGAGTAGTTCAGATATTTTCCCAGTAGATACATAGTTCGCAATTGGATACTTTAATATCTTGCCAATATCATGTGAATAACAGTTTGATGGCTTCCCACGATTCTGCTTGAAAGGTAATTGGTATCCAATAGATTTATCCTCTAAATTTATAAAGTGTAGTAGGAGTAGTTACCTCAAGGATATTCTCAGGAGATTGGTCTATTGGTATTGTTGAGTTAGAGGGGGGTCTTCATCCCGTTGTTTTGTATTGTTCACAGGTGTCAAGCGGGTCTAGCGATTGATCATTGTGAATGGGTGATTGATCGCTTTTCGGCAGAGAGCAATCTCGTGCTCTAGACTCGAGACGATCGATCGTTTCTGTACAAAGGCGAATTTCTTCGCTTTCCAAGTCACTCCAATTCTGCTCTTCACTTTATATCTCCCCCTGCAGCGTAGAATTGGATGATGGGTAATGAAAGAACATTTCATATTCCAAAAAGGTCACATTCAAAGTGACATAAGTATGTTGGGTAGAAAGATGATAACAGCAGTAGCCTTTCTGATGAGTGGCATAACCCGCAAAAACACAAGAAAGCGCACAATGATCAACTTTGCTACACTGGTTTTGTGGAGATGAACGAAAGTCACGCATCTAAAGATTTGGGGTATAAGTACCAAAACAGAGGGCAAAGGCCCTTGTTGCGCAAGCACTTGTAAAGGAGTTGTAAAGATCAATACACTAGAAGACATGCGATTGATAAGGTGAATAGCGGTGATAATAGCATCATCCCAGTAATGGCGAGGAACATGAATGCCAATCAGAAGTGCTCAGGCGATTTCAAGAAGATGTTGATTCTTTCGTTCAGCAACACCATTTTGTTGTGGTGTCTGAAGAGAAGTCATATCATAAATAATTTCATATTGTTGGAAGTAAGCTTGAAATTTATGATTGAAAAATTCTCCACCATTGTCTGAGTGAAGAATCTATATTTGAGCATTGAACTGAGCTTCTGTTTGTGAAAGAACTGAAAACAAGAAAACACTTCGTTTTTGTTCTTCAGCAAATAAAGTCATGTCATTCGTGTATAATCATCTACGAATGTGACAAACCAACGAACACCAGCAGAAGTAGTGATATGTGAAGGTCCCCAGACATAAGAGTGAATTAACATAAACGGAGTAGTACACTTGTTCGTACTCAACGGATAGGGCACACAGTGACTCTTAGCCAAAATATAAGTGTCACATGTGAAGTTGGAGTCCTTGAAACCTGAGAATAAATCTAGTATAAAATGCTTCATATAACTAAAAGACGGATGTCCTAATCAACGGTGCCACATCCAGATTTGTGTTTAGGGATGCGTCACACTATTAGCCATGCTGGGACTGAATTCATCTATATAATGTAGCCCTCCCTCTCTTAGTACCACGACCAAGAATCTTCTTAGTATGAATATCCTGAAGCAAACAAAAACTCGAATAAATGAGTACACATCAATTCAATTGTTCAATAAGCTGACTAACGGACATCAATTCATTGGATAAAGATGAAACAATTAAAGTATTAGATAGTGAGAGAGAGGATGATAGTGCAACAGTGTCAGCCCCTATCACAGGATAAGTAACTTTATTGGCGTTAGCAATACAAGTTTGTCGGGGTTGTGTAGTATTCAAAAAATCATCAAGATCATACGTCATATGATCAGTTGCACCGAAATCAATTATCCAGCTCGTAGAATCACTCTTATTCGAAGTATGGAATCAATAACTAGTGCCATTATTAGTTGTATCGCGTTGTGTTCTATATTTAAGAGTAGCCCACCATTCAGGGTAGTCATGCAATTTAAAACAAGTCTCACAAGTGTGTCACGGATCACCACAATATGCGCAATCTGGTCAATGTGTCGGGGTCGTTAGTCGGGAAATCATAATCTGTGCAGTGGAAGATACATAGGATATAAGTTTAGTAGGAATCCGGATCGGGATTTGAACCTGAGTCGAGGTTGAAGTCGGAGTTAAAGTTGGGATCTGGGTCTGAATCAGACTACCAAACGGCTCGTGCACTTGCGAGTATCACAAGTTGAGGATGCAGCTGAATCCATTTTGATGCAGCTGAATCGAAGCAACACTACCTTCATGAGGGTTGAAAAA